GATAGCATTTGAGTCTGTTGAACAAGAGTTCCTGTGGCGATGTTCTCCGTAGGAAGACGTACCAAAGAAGTATATCAACCTTGTAACAGACTTTACTCAGAAGCTGTTGATCGAGTTAGAGCTTATGGTGAACTGTTATCACGACCGCCAGTCTTCGGTAACGTTCGTTGGGGCTGCCCACCCTCCCTGTTTTCATCCTATTTTATCGTCGATATCCTCCTAGAAAATTTCTTCAACTAGCTTTTCATCCTTCCGAGAAACTCGCTTATCGATTTACAATACGCGGGTAAAATAGTCCTCTTTTGTGTTGCTAATCGTTTTGAGTAATATAGTCAACGTATTTGGGATGAACTTTTCTTCCTACCGAGTGTATACTTTACAGCCGTAAGCTCTTTTCTGTTTTGTGGCTTCGAAACAAGGTCCATGAAAGTAGAAGACGTGTGGATGCCCAAGGTTTTCTATCATGAGTATCATAAAAGCATTTCTCGCGTTTTGTGGAATGATTGAGTAGTCAATTTCGAAGTTAGGCATGGGGTCCTTGACAAAGGTGAAAAGTTGGTTAATAGATTAGGGAATTTTCATCGATTAATGTGGTTAAGCATGTGTTGCGTATCCTTGACCACCGTCTACTTCAATGAGCGGTACTTACTGACCCAAAAGTAGATTGGAAGAAAGCTGCGGAAAATCAAGTCAAGATATGCCATTAGTCCATAAAGTCATTGACTGTTGGTTTGATGCAAAACTATCTAGATGAGGTGTACACAATACTAGTGACCAGTGGTTGGAGACGTTAGGTGACATGTTTCAGGATCGGTCATGGTCTTAAATTCGGTATTTCTTCATCCATACATTCTCATCCAGTCTTTTCAAACAGTATTACCAAGGCTTATTTCTTACAATCATTGCTACTACATTATTTCTATCCTTTGTATTTTTTTCTTTTCATCTTCATCTGGTCGTGCCGGTCAGATATGGCGATTTGGGCCTAGGCTTATATGTACTAGCTTCTTTGTTGATGATCTTTTTGTTTAGCAAATCTTCATAGCATCACATGTCTTAGTTCAGATTTGACCATAACACAAGTCACACTTTTATTTTCTGTCAGATTTACTTGTGATTCTTCATCTAGACGTATCCTTCATTACTAATCTAGATTAGTTTACTAGTTGGGATTTGTTTACAATAAACTGGCAGTCCTGTAAATACAAACTGACTGTCTTTGAGGCCGAAAAGGATTCCACAAATCTTCCGTTTATTTGATGAATTTTGAACAGCTCCTTGGTACCACGAGCTGCATACGATAAGGATTACTAGTCGTTCAGGACATAAACTTGGACATGTTTGTGGAGTTATTAGTTTATAGTTTAAGGAAATTGGTATATCAATAATCTGTCTTAAGGACATCCAAACAATGCATATTACTTGACATTCGATGATCTTTTCTTTTCTAGTACCAACTCTCACAGACTATGGTTAGGCCTGATAAATCACTCAATAAACCAACATGCGAAATTCTATCGGGATAGTTCGTCTTTGTATAGTAAATTTTTAATCACTGTTCTTTATTTTACAGACTGGTCGTCAATCAACCACTTCTACTTTGTACACCTCTTTCTAGCGTCAAAAGCACTTGGTATTAAGACTTCGGATGCAACATGTAAAATACGTGTTTAGGCTACTAAAGCTTTGTAAGACGGGTTGCTTGATAGTAAAATAATTTCCACTAAAATCAAATACATTTTGATATAACTTATCATTCCTCAGATAGCTATGTTGTACACGGGATCATTTTGCACATAGACCAAGTTTACCATTTCGGTCTGGGCACTCGCGCAGTATCAGAGCCCACTCACAAATCAAGTGACTTGTGTGGCGCATATGTATTCGGTGCCCCTTTGCATCAATGTTTATGTGTTCAAATAAATAAAATAAATAAATACCGCATCAATACCACTGGCACACACTGATATAAGTCTTTTTTCCACTGTACAATAATTGACATCGTTAATGGTACACTATCGTTCGACAGTGACCACCAACTGATTAAATAAGATTTGGGTGGTGTATATACCGTAGATTCAATATAGAAAGTCTTCCATCAGGTGACAGATCTCATTCTTCCTCAGTATGTAATTGATTGGTCAAAAGGAAATGACGATGTTGTACAGTCTTGAGTGATTTCTCTGTTAATATGTAACAGTGAAATGGTAGTTCTATGTTCTCACTCTACCTGAGTTGTTTTTGTAAATAACTTTTAAAATGTAAATGGAATTCTCTGGGAAATATTTCTACAGTATACTCCTGCCTAACAAATTAGACTTATCACTGATGTCAAAAGTATAACTGTTTTCGGCCTGAAATAGGCATGATGATGTTCAAACGTCTGGGAGCGGGCGAAGATGTGGTTAATGCTTATAAAAAAACTAAACAACAGTCAACCTAATCCTCTGCAATTTGTCTCTTACGTTTTCCTTAATTTTTGTGGGGATGAAAGTCAATTTAACTAGTAACAGACTTGTATACTGACGGAGAAGCGGTGGCTTAGTGGTTAAGACGTTCGAATTTCAGTCATTAAGTCTAAGGTTCAGGCCCATCTCCACTTGTATCAGTCTGGATAGTCGAGTATTATAATTAGTTCACGCACTTATTATGTGACTCATACCTAAGTACCTCGTGAATAATTTGAAGTTAACTAAATGTTTACTGATGATTTTAACATCTTTTATGTTAGCTCTTGTAGTTACTGATGATAACCTGGTTCCAATGTTGTAAAATAATCGACATGTCATACCTTTTTAAATAATTCAGTCAATTTTCTAACCAAAATGTCGACCTCACCACTAGAAAGAGTTGAGGATAGGTCATCTAAATCAGGTTTATTATATAGCCTTAGTTTCTTAAATTCCCTCTAAAACGTCGCTTCGGTGGGAGGATAAATACCCACTGACCATGACACATGATAATTTGGTCAAAATTTTAGAGGAATGAATAGAACAAACTGTCTTTTGAAATACTTGATTAAGTATTCCAGGCGTTTTTAAATATTGCTAGTAGACGTGTCATCAATTCTCATTGGAATTTGGTTTTTTGATGTTGGTAATTCAGTTCAACGGAAATAGATCCTAAATGTTGTAGGGTGTAGCTATTACTTTCGACGCGGAGATACTTTCCAACCACCGGGTTTTCCACTCATGTAGGTTTTGTGAAGTTTTTCACATAAGAGAGTTGCCCAAATTTTTCATTCGAATCCTAATGGAATAAACTGACGAGCGTCAAAAAGTTGTAATGGGTATTTTACAAAGTAAGTGATTTCTTTCAAGACATGCAGCTGAAGATATTTATATTTTACAGTTGCTTGAAAATCAGCGTTTAATCTGGGTACGTCTAATATAATGAGCTCTCAGTAGAAAAGGTAAAACTGATTTCTAATTGTGCCTGGGTCTCAGTCTTCTAAAGACTACATATTTCCCACCCGTTACTTTTTACGTTGATCGGACCTAAATTAGTCGTAGATAGGAGAATGCTACTTAGGGATCCAGTCGGTGAATACTGTTTCGGTCCTGGCACTTGGCAAAATGCGAAACTAGCAAGATCTTATCCCGGTCCCATGGAATTCACGGATGTAGGCGCCTAAGAAATAGTTGTGAACTTGATAGTTGGGAAAAACTGTAATAATTCATTTGAGCACATCGATAGATAAACCATACCTACCTCCTTCATTGATTCCATTATGGTACAAACGTTAGAAATGGTACGTTCAAGTAGCACACGTAATTTCAGAATCGCTGTATATAACATTAATTTATAACTTTAAAACTGAAACTATTTAGGTTTTTTATAAGACTAATGTTTTGGTGGATTTCAGTCACTTCTATAAAGAACTAAGTGTAAATATATAATCACAGGCACGGTGGTCCTAATAGCATCTAGGAACTATCTATACATCAAAAACCATCCCAATATTTTTTTACAAGATTTAAGTTTAGAATACCTCTGGGTTGTAGCATCTATATCTCCAACTGAGTAGTGAGACTGAATTTTCAATACGGTTTTAATTGCTGTCTGGTCGTCAAGTGTTTTTCCAGTCACTCGTAAGAGCTACACATTCATTTATAAATCATAGTCCTAGTTACAAGTTAAGAATTTTCTACCGTTCGCTCACGGCAATGGAGCATTTCTGTCGGAATCTATATTTGAATAGCCAAAAATAACAATGTAGCCTTTTTAAGGATATCGGATATAACAGTTATTCCTCTCCGATCATTGCTATTTTTCTTCTAGATATTCATTGTTTTATTATACTCTTTAGTTCATTTTTTTATACCCAGAGTGGCTTAAGTTTGTACTTTAAGTAATATTTAAGTTCATGAAGTACTGAGACCTAACAAAAAATACTTACCTTGAAGTAGATATTCTATGGTATTACATTTGGTAGTATACACTTCAATATAACACTATTACTATCATGTGTAATAATGTAGTGAGTGTGTCAGCTTTCTGCAAGCAGTTTGGTCAGTTTTCTCAGTGAAAAGACGGTAATATTTCGTGAGCATTCTACTTTTATGATTAATTAAATCCTCTGAAACCAATTTTCTATATCTTCAACTGAAATATTAAATGTTATTTGAGTTTTTTTGGATATATCGTTGAACACTTCATAATTGATATCGCTTTTAGTTTTCTTTCAGATAATTTAATAACGTTACTGTAGTTTCTGTTATGCGAAATGAACAAATGAACTTTAGGCATATTTCCCTATGTGTCTCGGTCTAAATCTGATTAAACAGGGTGAATACACTATTTTGTTGCTTCCTCTCTCCCTCCCTGGCACTTATGATTAGTCATTTATATGCTTGTTAATATCATTTTTAAACGAAAGACAGACAATCAATATGTATACGCAGTCTCATACAGTGTGTTAGTAATGTCAATTACCATATTATTTTAGTCTGAACTATGCTTACTAAGTATGCATATTCATTTTGAAGTGTATTTATGTGTTAAATAAAGCATTGGCAGAGTGGGGTTAGTAAAGATAAGCTTGCAACTAATGTCCATTTTTTCTCTCCCTTTTGATCCTCAATACTATCATAGATTCCATCCAATTGGTTATTATTATTATTATTATTATTATTATTATTATTATTATTATTATTATTATTATTATCACCATTAATGTTCTTGTTATAATTATAACAATGATGGTTATGTTCAAAAGTACCATAGTTTTTTCTCATATCAATAACTTATTTTGGTTGTCCAGATTTTTTTCCCTTTTAGGATTTAAGGGAGTGCTTACATCCACGAATTTCCATTTGTGGTTACTTTTGTGTTGAATACACATGTGTTCGCATATTAGGTGTCTATATGTCCTCGTATGTTTGTAAAATTGTGCACTTCTATCACATATTTCGAATGGGAAATATTACTGGTCGTGTTAACACTGGCAGTTTACTTTTTTTATCTTGTATGTATACAACTTTTTACTATGTATGTTGTGTGAATATGTCCTATGATCTGCCTCCATGTGTAGATAAATGCACAAATTCTTATTCTTTGACACAAATGTATTGTATCAATCCCATTAATAACGATATGTCTCTCTTCTTACTTGCACGGTCACACAGTTAACTGTATATACCTATGTGATTGATCCAACGGTTCGATTCCTGCTTAATGATTACGATAACAGTAATACCAGCGAAATAACCACTGGTAAAAGTTCCTATACTTTGTCGGCTTTAGTAATCTCCGTGATGTATCGGAATTATATTCATCGATGCTTCGTAAAATGCCTGATGTCCTACCTAAAAGTTTACAAATTTTTCGTGGTTGATAGGATAGTTCAATTTTCTTAAATCTATGTCATGTACAACATTTTAAGAACTAATAATATCACTTTTGCTCCTTATTATCTCCTTCAACATTATATTTTATGGAAATTATCTACGATACTGGTGGTTCTACTACCTAAGAATGTTGAACGTTATTTTATGTCATACAAAATGCCATAACCACTCTTTTCTTTTGTTTACATTTGCAACCATCACTACCAATACGATGTTCTTACTTGAGAACCCTTAAATCTACAAATATGACATCATTCAATTGTTTCAAAATTCATGATACAAACAATTTTATCACACATACTACGAAAACAAATAATTCGGAAGGGAGCATATGCACTTCTGAAAATGCCAATATTACTTATAGTAAATGTAATCAATCAGTAGCTTCTGGAAATAATACAGTCATTTCAACAACAACTAACAGTTTACTAGATTCTAGAGATGTGAACCCCAAAATCACAATAAGTTATTCATCTTATTCACGTGGAAGTAATAATCTGCTATGGTGTAGACCACATTTTCGTCACTCCAGTTTATCATCTTCTGCATTTGGAACATGTATGCCAAGTAATAAACGTGATGGTCATTGCAATAGTAACAACAACAAGGAAAAAATATCTACAACTCCATCTACGGGTGTACAGTTCAGCCGTAACTGCTTTAGATATTATCCTAATCGAATACGTAAACATTTGGAGTCTTCTGTGACAAAAAATGACCCATTGTTGTGTTTAGTAACATCTACTGATTGTACTGTACAATCAGGTCCTGAAATAATCTATACTACCAGTAATTCCATGAACAGTGGCAGTGGTCTAGTTCGTAGTCAATCAGATTCTACATGTTTATCATTAAAAGCGATAATAGGTAATGGAAATTATATTGATGCTGAAGTAGATCAAGAAATCGGAGCGCAGACTAATATTGTTGGTTGTAGTAACAAACATGTAAATTATATATCAGATGACTCGGCACAAAGTTCTAATATCTCGTCTTGGGAAATGAACAACAGTGCTTCATTAGATGGGAGTAATTCCATTGATAAGTATAACTTAGAAATTAGTAATAAGTGTACATCATTGCTACCTTCGTTATTATTATCTTTATCGTCATCATTGTCAACGCAGATGAATTTCCGTAAGGTAAATATAACTGAAACTCAAGAGAAGTTGGGAATAAAAACAGAAGAAGGAAGAAATGACAGAAGTCGAGACGATGATATGTTAGCTAGTTTTATGCGAAATTCAACTATCGGGTCTATACCAAACAGTGGATTTACCTCGGAATTATCGAATTACTGTGGTGCCTCGAATAAGTCATCAACATCAGCTGTTTCTCATCAACATCAAGGAACCAGACTAAAGTGTCGGACCACGCCTAATAACCTATCAACTCCAACAACTCCAAGTCGAAGTTATCAATTAATATGTCGTAATGGAATACAAAGTTACTCTTTAGTAACAGAAAAACCTACGGGACACTCTACTTCCCCTGAAAATCTTGATTTCATTGATCAAAATTCGGAAACTTCCATTTGTTTTCATAATACTCAATCGTCTATCTGTTGTTCATCCAGCAACTGTAATCCAGATCATAACACATTGTGTAGCAATGGACAATTAACTTTTCCAGGTCACTTATTTAACGAACGTAAGCATATGCAACATATCTTTATTTTCAAATGAGTACTGCATATATCTCTTTTGTCCGTTCCGAGAGTACTTGCTATTTAATAGAATTTTCCTGCTTTCAATATGAGCTGGCTTATTGTTAGTATCTCTGCCTAAATGACATGAATATGAGTACAGTGCAAGATGTTTCTTTGTAGGGCTGCTGGCGTGTTTTACTGGTAAGCATGACACATAGACTTAATGCTAACTTTAATTTCTAGTTAGCCAGCTCTTAATAAACTGCATTATAATATGGAATCAAAGCTTGAAAACAATATTGAACTTTTTTGCAAACTTCGATGGCTAAATTAGATGACATCGTATTGGCTACCATTAAAGACGTTATCCATGTTATTTCAATTTTCTTAATGTAACATTTGTATAAATATATTTTTTAAATTATTAAGTTACCACTTCCTCATAGGTTTAAATCATCCTAAAATTATTTGTGTATAGAGAATATTCGCCAACCGTTCGTTATCATTACATGTTTAATGTTCTAGTTCATCGGCCTGATTTCCTGAACTGATTATACTTCTATATTCTTGTAAAAGGATTAAACGATTATCCATTACTCTCTAATCGTCAACACCCTGTTATGAAAAAGACTGACTTAATTTTAATGATAAACCACTTTTCTCTCAAAAGAACTAATATCACCAAACTGTAGTAACAGAAATAATCTCGACGTAATTTTTTGTCAAAATACCCTATTCTCCTCTTTTCTTCCCATCTTGCAATATCAATGTAATTTTTGTTCTGAACCATTACTGTGTTATTGTTTTTTTCTTCTCTTCTTATACTTGTTTGACAGTTAGTTTTACTCTTTTGACAATTATATGATACTGATTGGTTCAACAAAATTTCAACAGTGTGTTTTGAGGCATATCGAAATCTCTTCAAGATGTAAAAATATTTATTATCACGCTCTAAAGAAATACTTATAGCTAATAATCCGTTTTGTTGTATGTTAAGGTTTTTTTCAAAAGTATGCTGTCTAGATCTGTTATATAATCAAGCTCAAAATATTTCGACCTTGAGACCGGCATATTACTATTAAGCCATATTTAATTTAATATAATGAATTGGTTATTGCTTAATGATGCTTACTTCGTTGGTTACTTAGTCGATATGATTTTCAATGTAATGTTAGTATATTTCTGTAGAGAAATTCGTGGTGTGTTTCATTCTCTTCAAAACTCAGCAGCAGACATTGCTTACATTTTAATCTTTGGTGCTTCTCTTGGAACTCGAATCCCATCATACAGTTCATAAAGTCTTCCTCTATTTTGAATTATGAAAGTTTTTTGCATATTAGATATTATTACTAGGGATTGCTTCCGTTATAATCGTACTTTAATAAACTGGTGGGTGATTGCTGCCAATGTATGCATATTCCTTTACGATACACTATAATTTTCTAATAGTGTTTATTTCCAGAAAAAAACAGTTAAATAATGAATTTATAGATCAATGAAAACGACCACTCAGTTGTTATGATTTATTTACTGTGACTAATTTCACTGTAAATCAGATATTTATTTATTAGACGATTACATTTCGGTTGACCTCTTACTTAGTTTTTCCCAATGTACAAAAAAGGAAAATGATTAGTAATTCATCATTTTTGTTTGTTTGTTAGATTAAAATCAGTTCCTGTAACACTTGCTTAATAACATTTCACTACTTAGATATTTTACTTAATAAATTATGTTGTAAATTTATGATTGAATGCTATCTATCATAATTTAGCTTAAAAGTAAAAATCAGTATGCCATATCAATAAATTTTTAGTATTCGAGTAACCTATAGAAATTTATTATTTGCATTATCTTTAGATTAAATGGTTAATTTTTTGCCTAGAACTTGCAAAATCTTAGATAACTCAGCAAATTCCTTAGTTCACCTACTTTATTTTGTTAGGATAGACTAAGTGAATAGGAAGTGGAAAGATTTAACAGAATTCTGATAATAGTTATGGATATTTTTGATAATTCCACAACCTACTCAATAAAGATTACTTTTGTTATGTCCTTATGCCCTGCGAATAAATCACGTGACTTATCGCCAATTAGAACACCGACTTACTGACCAGACCAATGACACTATTACGAGTAGTCCTGAGTCAACTCTGAGTTCGTATTGGTCCCATGAGATAGTAGCTTCTCGCTTAACCCAGCCAATTCAGTCCAGAACATCAGTATCAGCCTCCGCTATATGAATCGTGTATTTCAGACATACTTGGTTTATATACAAACAAACCATACCACATCATAACATAAAGTAGAAAATAACAATTATGCAAGATCAGGTCGGAAAGTGGCTGTGATTGTTAGATACTGTAACTAATAAATTGGGAATAAATTAAGAATAGTAAATCATATAATAGTAGACAATAGGCCAAACAGACGCTTGTAATCAGAAGAATATGAATATACATCTAATATAGTTACTTATTAGCTATACAATAAGAATATATGTAATAACAGTCTATGAATAGATCCTAGCGATTAATATCCACTTATTCTTCATCTGGATATAACTTTGGTCCTCATATCATATGTAAATATCAGTAGGGCTCATATGTACGCCTACCATATTGTTTTCATTGTCTTCCCTACCTAATAGAAAGACAAGCTTATATCTAGCCGAAATGCATAGTTTTGCTTAAGTAGATTTAGAACCTGTAATAAGATCGATATTATAAAATTGATCGCATTTTTGGTTAGGATACATCTATTTGTTTTTAATAAATTCAATTTGTTAATAGAATGCCTTTAAAATCATTCAATTTTTCTATCCGCATATACATTGATAGGAGTATATTTCTCACAAAAGTTTTAAAAGCAGGTCGTCAAAAAATTTCATTCATTTGATACATTGATGATTCGGCTGTATTGAAGCGAACAATTCTATTCAGATATATGCTGCAAATATATCTTAACACAAATTAATAACTAGCTAACAGTTGATTGTCTAGATCTTTAGTACATCTTTGAACATAGTAATAACAGGTAAGTTTACTGTAAGCATGTTTTTTTCTACTCAATTAGAACGATGTTGTAGTGGTTAAAATAATTAAATTTTAACCGAATAGATCATGGTTCCGAATTTCGCTCTACCTATTTTGTACTGATAAACAAGTTACATTATTATTTTATTACTTAATTGTCAGGCATATAATTCCCTACTCAAATGGTATATTTTTTTGATTCTTGTTTGATAATTTATTAATATGTAAAAAACATCCTATCCACGTTAAACTAACCTAAATAAATTTATCTTAATTGATAATGAAAATTTTCTGAATTAAGGTTTTACGATTTAATTAGCGAACTGTCGGTTTTTGAAATTAGAGCATGTGAAGTATTATTTACCATCTTAGTAGCTGACTTAATAATCAGATATAAATATATATAGTCAGCTTTCAAGCAGTTTGTTTTGTGTAACGAAAAGTAGTTGTCCAGAATGACCTTGGTGGAACAGTTCGAAAACGTGATACCATGATTTAACATCTAGTAATTTAACAATTAAACCATTAATTCAAAACACTACTCAGCTATATATATTAATTACCTTTAATCGTTTGTTAACAAAGTCCACTTTTTCAAATAACCAGGCTAACTATATACACTCTTTTTCCCTGTTGTTTGTTTATTCAACATGCCACTCAATAATACAGTCACGATGACAGTAATGTTTCAAACAGTTTACTGTGCATGATCAGTATAAGGATTTTCGTGTAACTTTGATATTTGAGTTTAGTGATGGAGAATTTTCTTAGACATTTGTTATAGGGATCGTATTATTCTCACTACATATAGCGAGTAAAAATATAGTACACCGTCCCTCTTTACTTACCCAATTGATATTTGTATGTTTTACTTGGTACTATCGGATCAACGGTTAACGTATGGACTACATATTATTAACTCCTTTAAAAATTGCTTATCTCATCGGTGTTGGGTCCTAGTGCTGTATTTTTAGGTTACATCTGTGACGTGATGTCCTGATTAATCTTTTATTTTCATCCACATACTTGATGTCACAGTTTTTGCTTGTTATTAATGAATTAATACTGCTAACAATTCTTTTCACAGCTTTCAATATACCCTATTGTATGATAATGCTGCAAATGCAGTCTACTTTACATACAAGTTAGAAAATATATCAGGGAGAAGAAATTATACTGAGTTGCAAAGTGAAATAAAAACAAGATATTGTCTCGACAGTAAATGATGTTAAAATCTTATTATTTGCTTTGAATCATTTTATAAATTTCGACTAAAAATGTTGAATTAGGTAATAAAACACAAGAGACCCTGATTGTTCGTTAAGTACTATTTGAAATAATCGCCACAAATAAAAATGTGAACTCTAAACCTCTTCATGATGAATGATATCATGTCTTTGTATGCTCAATATTAACGTCGTTATGCATCATACCTGTAATAATTAGCTTGGGGTGCGTAACATAATTACCAACTATCTCAGTAGATGAAGACGTGTGACCTCATCAAACTATATACATTGTTACCTAGCACTTCATGAGTAACATTCACATTATTTGCTCAGTGGTTCCATCATGTATTAAGAATATTTCAAATGTTCTCATGATTAAATATTTGCATGATATGGATATCTACTATTTTCAATAATACGAAACTTACAGTCCCTCAGTATACTTATATGATATGATGTGAAATGACGAGAGTCAAATGTCTATTCTATAACTACACAACTAAATTTAAATTCATTAGTTCACTCAGATGTGATTACACTGTAAGCCAAATTTGAACTTCCACTTCATGCATTTAACATCACTTTACATTTGTGTAATTTTTAGTCCTCATTGTTTTCCTTTAAGTTATTATGTCAGTGTTATTTTGAAATGTAATAGTCTAAACCCATGTTTTATTACATCAAAGGTTCTGTTGTTTCAACTTTTTTAGTTCTAATGTTGCCAAAAATAATTCGTATTATGATTTAAATTTTCTATTTACAACTTACATGCTTTATTTTTTCTTAATGTTTAGATCAATTTGGTGCTATAACACCTGATTATTTGACCAAATCTTATGAAATTAAAAATCATTCTGATTTAGAAATATCTCAGTCTTCTGTTGACACACACATTCAACCAATTCTTCAGTATTATGCTGGGTCTCAAAATACTACTGCTAATTTATATTCCATAATTTCTACATCTAAAGAGTGTTCTTCGCACCCTATTCCATTGGATGAAATTTCCACATCAAATGTTATCAATGCTTCTCACTCTAGTCAATGTCGTCCCATCTATTCTGATTCACTGGATATTCTTAACAACAGTAATACTTATCCTAAAACACTTGGATTGCATCCGGAACCTATTAATCTATTTTCTCAAGTTAGTCAATTATCAACAGGTTCAACAACAACCACTACCACAACAACTTCGAATAACACAACAGAAAAACCAACTGCACCATTGCCATCTCGTAAGCAAAGACCATTATCTCCTTTATCAACTACTTCCATCACTGGAGTTATAAATACGAATACTATTACAAATATTACCACTATGCATCAAAACCATACAAATATAAGTTCAGTTGATCATCATCATCGACAACAACAGGCTTATACTCCTAAATTACTACATAACAGCACTATAGCAGCTGTTAATACTAATATCCAATCACGTACTCCATCTAAATCGCAGGGTACATTACACTATCAACAAATTAACCCGTATCAAAATGCACCTAAATTAGTCAGTGGATGGCCATTATCTTCAAGTGCTGGGAATCGTCCTCTACTGACTAATAATAACACTAAACTTGATTCTCATCAAACAATTGTTAATTCAGATCAGTTTATTACTGGAACTAGCGGCGATAGAATTATAAACTATTATAATAACAATAGTAACTACATTCATAACGCTGGTATTTCTAGTACTACTATTACTAATAATAATACGAACAATAACATTGGCTTTATGAATAATGTAAGTTTGTTTAATTTCCTGTACATCTTTTCTCATTTGTTTTTATGTGTGGTATTCTACGGACTTGATTTCTGACTTAAGTCCCCAAGTTGCAATGTAGCTAAATAATATCGTACATTATGTTGAATGTTGCTTACAGATTAGCATACAAACTCTTACATACGATGTCTGAGTGGAGCTCATATTTCGGCGAAAATTGAAAATCACGAAGCTAAATTAATGTTTCTTCTGTTTCAAAAGTTATTGTTGTCTTTATTACTAGAATACACAGTAGTTACGGAATTTCGCTGTCAATTATTGATTGTCATGGGACATTTGTTTACTACTTTTGTTTTAATGAGAAATCATCACACAGTCTTATTATTAGTGTACAAAAAGCTTGTTACTGCTGTTTTTCTATTCGGAAGTGTATGTTAACGACGTTTTTTAAAAACAAAAATACATTTTCTACATAACACGTGACTAACAGACGATAATAATCAAACATTAGTATAAATCAATACTGTTCAGATCATCTATCGTTCATAAAACATAGATATTTCAGATTAAGGAGTACCTTATGGTAATGATGAACATATCAAATGAATTAAGTACAATACAAAGAACGATTTAAAAATAGGTTAACAACAGAATTTGTATTCCTTTCAACAACTTAGTCGTGTGCATTCACAGCCAAATCTGAATGTTCTAAAACAGAAAGCTCAATACATTTCTGAGTAGTATCTTTAAAATCCTCCTCATTATTATTACTGTTCAAGAGCATTAAAGTTTTTCTAGGTTGTTTAGCTATACTATGATTTAGTATCATTGCTGTATCTGTATTATTAGTAGAATTATTGTTCCTTAATCTTCTAAGAGTTCATTATCTTTGAGAATATATATAAAACTGTTATATTTAAATAATCAATTTTGAAGAAAAGTCTCAAATTTAATAGCCTATCTTTCTACTCTAATCGTGGTTTAAGTGTTTAGGACTAGTTATTTCAAGTCATCTGCATTATATATTTATGAATTATAAGGATGATTTTACACTCACTGACTTATCTACCATCAATTTCTTCATACTTCTATTTCAAAGAAATGGTGAGATTTTGAAAAAAAATCAAACATTTATTATTTAAGTCAAATAAACATATTTATGTATGCTTCAAATGAAATGTGTTTGATTTCACATTAATGTTGTAGTATTAATATCAATTTTAGAGTAGGCTGATTGCAAACTTTGTTTGAAATCGTTTTTGATATAAATTACATGAAACTAATAATAATAGTGACGTTTTATGATGTGTTTCTTGAAGATTTCTTATCATGTTTCAGATGAAACATTTCTACAGGTGATCAACAAATAAAATGTTTTCATGATATTACAATTCATTTGTTTAGGGTATTTAATATTGCACAATTGTTTAGGTGTAATGTATTAATTAGATATCACAAGGATGACACTAATAATAACATTTTCACCAATAAATACGTTTAAAAATTTGTAAAAGTTCTCAAATGAAAATCTATGTTACATTTCAATTAAAATGATCATACTGTTTAATAACATAGGGAAAAAATACGCAAAAGATGAAAAAAATCCTTAGTGGAATAAAGAAAAGCATGAACAAAAACCTGTGACTAGGAGATATAGAAATATTAAAATGTTAACAGTTTAAAAGAAGGATAAGAATGAGTACACTTCCGTCATTTGGTCATATGTAACGTAGAAGCTAGCACATATATGCATTGATTTAAAATGCCAAACCACATTAGCATAGTCGGATACTCGACTGGAATAATTAGTAACAGTATTAATGGTAGTAGGAGCGTTACGACGTAGAACATATAATTAGACAAGAAAATACGAGATCATGGAAAGTTTTTATAGAGTGAATGCACCTACGCTATCGCCAGCGATTCTAACCCTTGTTACTTAGGGGTTCTAACCATTAGTTGATAAGATCTCGTGGACACCAACCAGGTAATCTGCATCTAACTAAGTCCTTCAGTGTAGTTGTCAGTGGCTTCATGGGCTGATGTCACATCTTGGTTTGGTCGCCCCCAGCTTCCTTCCCGACTAGTACATCAGGTAATATTGAGAGTAGATGTAGTCATTGGTTAATTATACTTAACATGTGTCCTAACCACTCGAGTCGATAACGATTCACCATCTCATGGATTGATTTGCCTTATTACCTGGTGCTCTGTGTCTAACCTCAACATGACTTACTTTGTCGTCCTAATATACATCAGGAATGCTTTGAAGGCATCAATGGTCGAATACTTGTAACCTACGAATATCCGATCTTTTGCGGCTGTTTGTACCTATAAAGTAAGGTAGAGTGAATTTCTGCTCAATAAGCCCGCGTTTTGGTTGGCACGTCGTCTTGCCTACGCCATCAGTAATGGAGGTTGGCCAATCCAGGTGAGCTTTCTCAGTACGTGCACAAAATTCGTCAGGTGTTTGGTCGTGCTATCAATTTCGAATAATATTACATTAGTCTTACATGCGTTGGTTTTAAAGCTCTTGAAGACTTTAAAAAGAAAGTTTAAACTGTAGACAATCAGGTTACGTCTAAATTGATTTGTTTTTGTCTGTTTACACTAAAAACCCTCTTTCTATTATATCATATGCATTTAACATCGTACATCTCATTTTCGTAGTTTGAATTACGTAAACCATGTCACAACTGATTTAATCAATTCACGACTTATTTTGGTCCACTTTGTGTGTTTGATTTCAGTATTTTTCGAATTCTCAATCGAATCAACACTAAAGAACTACATATATTTAAGACCTTGTAACCGAATTACATTATTAACCTTTAATAAATATATCTTACATAGTTATCAACGTCAGCTGATAGCTATGTAGTATTCTCTAGTTTCTAAAGGTGTAAACGTCTTAAGTTTGTCTTTCTAAGCGTTCTTGTGTAAATACAAAACTGAGATTAGATTATCTGAAAATATTAAGTCAATTTCTGTCACGTCAATTACCCAGTTCAGTTATTTTCTATCATATATATTTGAGGATGGTTTAAAGAGATTAGTTCGGCTCGCAAATAGTTTTCCTGTTAGTTGGTCATCACAAATGATAATTTGTTCTCTATCCTAATTTAGTTTTATGTACTTTTTGTACCTACTTTTCGTCAATTATCAAAGTTTGTACGTACACCAGTGTATGTATGTCCCTGCTTGTGTTACTACTGTCTTTTTGACAACTATTTGAATGTTAAAAACTATTATTATTACTATTATTGACATTGTTACTATTACTATTATTATTATTGTTATTATTATTATTACTATTATTAACATTGTTGCTGTTATTATTATTATTATTATCATTATCATTATTATTATTAATATGTGGATATTGACGTGTACAGAGTGAATAGATAGAAATTTTGAAGAATAAGTTAAATAGACTGGAAAGTTAACCTATAATCAAATCTTAATGTTATCTTATCGGAGCAAATGGCTCACTGACTTTTACCCGGCTGTACGACTGGATTATAAGCTCAGTATATCCATATATACACTCGTATGTAAATTCCCACTTAGCATTCATTTTTACTTAGTAGAGTAATATTCCAATTCACAGAATAATGTATCTTAAACTATGTCGGTTCAGTGTTATCAACAGGTTTAAAGATAACAATAATTTGGATGACATCCAATTTTGGGTTAACGTTAACTTATAATATAAACCACTCCAAAAGTGTAGAATGACTAGATTTGTAGGCATTTATTTAGTTAATATAATGTATAGTCTTTAACTTAGTAATACACACTACAGAAATGTTATAGATGTTATACACTTCCACTGACATTTGAGCAAAATGTAATGAAATTTTTGTCCGCCTAGTTATTAATCAAATATTAACATATATTTTCATATAGTAGAGGGAATCGATATAATCCATGTTATAGTTATACGTGATAATAACTGAGTTGCCAAGTTTATATTTGTTGCAGTATACATCTTTTCTGTTATGCATGCAACATCCAGTTTTGGAACTCTTTTTACAAGTTTTGTATGACTGTAAAAAAAGCATACTTGTTGATTTTACTTACTGTTCAGCCTTTGTAAATAAGAATTCACTTACTAATGTTCTTCTTATGTTGAAAACGCAATTTTTCATGTATTTCATATCATACCTGTACAGAAATTCTGTATCTCATCATGACACTCATTCTATATATTTTAATTTCGTGATTTCATGTGAATTCATGCGTATCTCTTTCATCTAATGCGAAGTACCAGTTTTGGCATTTACTCGATATGATAGAAATTTTCCCATACCATGTTTTATTACATGCCACCGCGTGATTGTAATGATCTTATTAGCAATTTATACTATCATTCCACCAGTCAGCATAAAGGAAGCAACCTTTTTTTCACTATAATTTTAATTTAGTGACAAGTTTGTTATTACAGTCATAGGAATATATGCCTTATCTCTTCATATTCCTGTATCTCTGTAAGAAAATAAGTATCGAAGGGAAACAATCGTATTTGTTGCTTATTTGTTTGTTACCAACGTAGATTTTTCTCTGTTTGCTGTATTAACCCATTTCATCTCACCATTATTGTTAGTACCTTGTCAATGTTATAGTAGAAATTAATTGAACGTATTATAGTTTTTTCTTAGCTGATATGAAAATTTCAGCGTTGTTTTAAAATTTAGGGTTATACAATGAAACAGTGATAGTTTAAACTGGTTTATGATCTCGAAAGTAGAACGTTAGAGCATAATCGTTTCAAAAGTCAAATGTAAATTACTGAGTCACAGATTTAAACCGTGTTCACAAACTACTTCATCTTAATATAAAAGAAGTGTAGTTGAGAATTGCGTGAATATACGAATGTTTATTTGACTACTAAGTTAATCAATAACTTTGATATAATTTTTAATTGTTGGATTGAAGATGATCAACTGAGCATATGTTTGTATTTATATATGTGTATTTCTTTCCAACTTGTTTTTCTTCAACTATAAGTTAGTTTAGCA